TCATGCTACCCACTGTCTGCAACATGCAAGGGCAGGCTGAAGTTGTGTGCATACCCAGAGTGGCCACTGCTGCTAGATGGTGGAGCAGAGCTAGGTGAGGTTGAAGGCTGGGGACTCCATGGAACCTCTCCCCACTTTGGGGTGGGCCTCCCCTATAAGAAGGCTGACCTGCAGGGGCATGCCAGTTTCACAGTGGGTTCCCCTGAGGCCCAGAATTGCAATGGGTCTTCCTAGGGAGGGTCATCCTGCAGGGGTCACTCCCATAACAGGGAGACCTGCTACCGGAGTGCCATCTGTGAGCAGTCTCTTAGGTTGGTTCACCTCAACCTTAGGAAAGCCTCATGTCCCTTGTGGCAGGGGGTCTGGGAGTGATGACAGGGTGAAAGTCTCCCCCTTACAGGGGCCCTGTGTGTGGGCTGTGTACCAGGACAGAGACATGTCTGCCATAGGGGGTTTGGAAAAGAAGGTCTCTCTGAGCCTCCTCAACATGGAGATCCCCCCACCAACATTAAAGCTCTTCCAACACTGAGCATCCCCTGCTCCCATGGAGTTCCCAGTCAGAAATGGGGTTTAGTCTGCTCCACCAGAACATGGAACATGGAGGCGCCAATCTTGGTATATGGAGACTGTGCTTGTGGTGGATCCTAGGTTGTCTGTGTGGTTTTGTCAGAGTTGACCTCTGTGTTTTTATGATGAGTAAATGAGCAAGAGCAGTGGGGCATCCTCAGTTCCTCCTCCCTGAGGTGTAAGAATCAAAGACAGTGGGAGCTGGAAAGACCAACAAGGATAAATAAAATCTTCCACTGCCTCTCACTTAGAGCAAGTGTCACATTTAAAAATCATTTTCCTGAAGGATTTTATAAATGCAGTTTTGTAGATTATGAACTCTTGTAGACCAGAGGTATTCTCTAACTACAACTGACAAAACCAAAACCACCACCCAGCAACAAGAATGAATGAACCTGTATGTGTAATAGATATGGTTTTCTGTATTTGTTTCTTCCTTAGTATTTTCATTGTAAGTATTTGGCCAGTAGGCAAGAGAATAGCTGAGTAAGATGCAGATGTTGATGGAAAAGCTTGAAAACTGTCATTTGAATAGCTGAACGATTTTGGGATGTGTGTAAGTGATACTATATATGTTTTAAGGAGAATTTAGTAGTGTATAACTTAAGTGAGCCTGAACATTTCTAACATAGGAAGCCCCTTCTAACATACAGGAACCAATTTTAAGCCAAATCACAGTGAAGTTAGGGTTAAAAAAATTGAAAGTGAAAAGTGAAGTTGCTCAGTCCTGCTGACTCTTTGCAACCCCAAGAATTGTAACCTGCCAGGCTCCTCTGTCCATGGGATTCTCCAGGCAAGAGTAATGGAGTGGGTTGCCATTTCCTTCTTAGGGTTAAAATGTCTGGCCCCAGACCTTCCAAGTCCAAAGAAGAGACTCACTCCTCCACATGCCAACTCCCCCTGCTGCCCCCTTCCCCGACCCACTGTCAATCTTTGAGTTCACTGCAGTGGGCTCTGGTATGCAGGTCCAGGCACACACCATCTTAGATATTTATATATCATGAGAAACCTCAGGGCCTGGCCAAATCTTAATCAGTGTTTATGTTTTGTTTATGTTCATTTTTTCAGTCATGTCTGACTCTTTACGACCGCATGGAATGCAGCACGCCAGGCTTCCCTGTCCTTCACAATCTCCTGGAGTTTTGCTCAAACTCATGTCCATTGGATGGCATCATTGATGCCATACAACCATCTCATCTTCTGTTGTCCCCTTCTCCTCCTGCCTTCAGTCTTTCCCAAAATCAGGGTCTTTTCCAGTGAGTCAGCTCTTCATGTCAGGTGGCCAAACTATTGGAGCTTCAGCTTCAGTATCCGTCCTTCCAATGAATATTCAGGGTTGATTTCCTTTAGGATTGACTGGTTTGATCTCCTTGCTGTCCAAGGGACTCTCAAGAATTCTCCAACAGCACAGTTCAAAAGCATCAGTTCTTCAGTGCTTAGCGTTCTTTGTGGTCCAACTCTCACATCCTCCATACATTACTACTAGAAAAACCATAGCTTTGACTATATGAAGTGATGTCTCTATATAAGCATATCACTATATGAAGTGATGCTTTTTAATACACTGTCTAGGTTTGTCATTGCTTTTTTTCCAAGGAGCAGGTGTCTTTTAATTTCATGGCTGCAGTCACCATCTGCAGTGATTTTGGAGCCCAAGAAAATAGTCTGTCACTGTTTGCATTTTTTCTCCATCTATTTGCCATGAAGTGATGGGACCAGATGCCATGATCTTAGTTTTTTGAATGTTGAGTTTTAAGCCAGCTTTTTCGCTCTTCTGTTTCACCTTCTTCAAGAGACTCTTTAGTTCCCCTTTGCTTTCTGCCATTAGGGTGGTGTCATCTGCACATCTGAGGTCATTGATATTTCTCCCTGCAATCTTGATTCCAGCTTGTGCTCCATCCAGCCCCTCATTTTGCATGATGTACTCTGCATATAAGTTAAATAAGCAGGGTGACAATATACAGCCTTGTCATACTCCTTTCCCAATTTGGAACCAGTCTGTTGTTCCATGTCTGGTTCTGACTGTTGCTTCTTGACCTGTATACACGTTTCTCAGGAGGCAGGTAAGGTGGTCTGGTATTCCCATCTCTTGAAGAATTTTTCACAGTTTGGTGTGATCCACACAGTCAAAGGCTTTAGTGAAGTCAATGAAGCAGAAGTTGATGTTTTTGTGGAATTCCCTGGCTCTTTCAATGATCCAGCGAATGTTGGCAATTTGATCTCTGGTTTCTCTGCCTTTTCTAAATCCATCTGGTACATCTGGAAGTTCTTGGTTCACGTATTGTTGAAACCTAGCTTGAAGGATTTTGAGCATTACCTTCTAGCATGTGAAATGGGTACAATTGTGCGGCAGTTTGAACATTCTTTGGCATTACCCTTATTTGGGATTGGAATGAAAACTGATCTTTTCCAGTCCTGTGGCCACTGCTGAGTTTTCCAAATTTGCTGGCATATTGAGTGCAGCACTTTCACAGCATCATCTTTTAGGATTTGAAATAGCTCAACTGGAATTCCCTCACCTCCACTAGCTTTGTTCATAGTGCTGTGCTTCCTAAGGGCCACTTGACTTCACACTCCAGGATGTCTGGCTCTAGGTGAGTGATCACACCATCGTGGTTATCTGGGTCATGAAGATCTTTTTTGTATATTTCTGTGTATTCTTGCCACCTTGTCTTAATCTCTTCTGCTTCTGTTAGGTCCATACCATTTCTGTCCTTTATTGAGCCCATCTTTGCATGAAATGTTCCCTTGGTATCTCTAATTTTCTTTGAAGAGATCTCTAGTCTTTCCTATTCTATTGTTTTCCTTTATTTCTTTGCGTTGCTCACATAAGGCTTTCTTATCTCTCCTTGCTATTCTTTGGAACTCTGCATTCAGATGGGTATATCTTTCCTTTTCTCCTTTGCCTTTAGCTTCTCTTCTTTTCTCAGCTGTTTTGCCTTTTTGCATTTCTTTTTCTTGGGGTTAGTTTTGATCACCACCTCCTGTACAGTGTCATGAACCTCCATCCATATTTGTTCTGGCACTCTATCAGATCTAATCCCTTGAATCTATTTATCACTTCCTCTGTATAATCATAAGGGATTTGATTTAGGTCATACCTGAATGGCCTAGTGATTTTCCCTGCTTTCTTCTATTTAAATCTGAATTTTGCAATATGGAGTTCATGATCTGAGTTACAGTCAGCTCGTGGTCTTTTTTTTTCTGACTGTATAGAGCTTCTCCATCTTTGGCTGCAAAGAATATAGTCAATCTGATTTCAGTATTGATCATCTGGTGATGTCCATGTGTAGAGTCCTCATGTTGCGGGAGGAGGGTGTTTGCTATGACCAGTATGTTCTCTTGACAAAACTGTTAGCCTTTGCCCTGCTTCATTTTAAGTATGGACAATCCATACTTCACCAGAGAGGTGATGGAAGATTCACAAATCTTGAAAAAAGTCCAGTATAGATTAGGCCCAGTTTGGGGTTGGGGTGGGGATGGGGGTGGGGGCGCGCGTCTAAGGACAGCAAAAAGTGAGCAAGGACGGCCTCTGGTGGACAGGTCCCTCCATTGTTTCCTCTTTTTAAACTGGTATTGTAATTTACATCGGGTACTCAGCGCTGAGGGTCCTGAGAAGGCCAGGCTGCGAAACACCCTCTTATATCACAAACCGGGAAACTGAGGTCCACAGAGCAGTGTTCCTTTTTCCCCGAGGTCACACAGCGAATCAGGGCAAGAACTGAGAATATATCCCAGGACTTTTCGACTCCACGGATGTGATCCCGAGCGACTAGTGTTTTTTTAAACAGACACTTGTTTTAAGCGCGTTCGGAGGAGCGAACCACTTAAAGAATTCCTGAAGGGCGAATAATTGGCTCTGAATGGGGTACTGAGAGAAAAGTCGGCCTCACGGGCGTCTTTAGAGAACACAAGCACATTGAGCCACACCCTCTACTTCCGGGATCCTTAAAGCGTTGGCTTTGGATGGTTAATCCCGGCCCCCAACCCTCGTGGCATCTTGGGAAATGTAGTCCGGGTACCCTCCAGACACAAGGATGAGGACCGTCTAGGAACTGCAATCCCAGAAGGCTCTGTTCATGGTCTTTTTAGCCTGGCTACGGGTCGGTGGGGGAACCCCTTATTCTTGACATTTTTAATTTCTCAGGGGGAATGTGTGACGGTGAACAGAGGCATTTGGCGGCGCCGTCCGTAGGTTGCCTGGCCAGGTGGCGCTAGACGCAGAGACCGTGGACCCGGCCCTACGGCTTTCCTTCGGGCCGACGGGCAAAAACCTGAGGCGCCGCGTCTCCTTTAACCGCGGTGGGCGGGGCGAGGTGAAGAGACCCACGTTGCTATTGGCGGCGGTTGGGGGCGCGGAAACTGAACGCGCCGCAACGGCAGCCGCTGCTCCTTCACGCTCCTCAGGCGCCTTGGGCGCTCCCGGCCCCGCCATGACCGCGCCCTGCCCGGTAAGTTTCCGTCAGCGGCGGCCGCCGGGACAGTGGGCGCCTAGCCGGACGCGGGGTTCCGAGCCGGTCCTCTCTGGCCCTAGTTTTCGGTCGGTGCAGGCGGTGCTGATTTCGGCCACCTGGTGAACGCCTTTTGCGATCCAGGCCCTGTTCGCGCTGCCGGGGCTAACAAACCAGTAGTCTCTGCCCTCGGGTTTTGCTTCCTAGCTGGGCAGACACTAGTACGGCCTGACTGGAGGTGTGACTTGGGGTCAGTGCCGGGCCTCTCTAGTTTCAGTCTCCGTTTCCCTGAGCAGTGGGTGGCTGAACGGGGAGCTTGTTGAGAGTGTACCTATTCGCTGTGTGGGAACAGCTCCGCCCCCGGGACGCCTGCGTCAGTGTGACAGGCTGCCCTCTCTCAGCCCCAGTTCCTTCCAGAGGCCTGCCGGGCACTCTCTGGCTGGGTTGTGAAAGTCAGTGACGCTGAGTGGTGGCTTGTTGGCTTTCTTAGGTGTCTGGGCACGTGAGCCGAGGGCGCAGCCTGGGAAGCAGGCCTTTTGACCCCTAATGGTGTCCCCCCCGCCCCCAATATATAAACCTTTTTTTTGGGAAATGAGAAACCAGCGAGCCTGTGGCATTAGAAGAGAGGGTGCTGGGAGATTTCAGGGGTCCGCTGGCTCGGGCAAATCTGACCGTGCCCTCGAGGGGGTAGTGTTTTACCCGTGTTCTTTATAAGAAGCTCAGGTGGAGCCGTTTCTGCTCCGTTCCCCGCCCTCCCCCAGCTGCCGTTCCTTCTCTAGGTGAAAGGCAGGTGTGTTGGGGGTGGAGCGGGGCATGGGGGACGGGAACCTTTGTTCTGGTTACAACTCTTTGGAGTCCTTGCTCTGCACCAAGGACGGGTTTTCTCCCAAGAGCAGGTTTTGCTGGGCTCCCTGGTCCCTCCAAATGCTTCTTTGAGGTTACTGATGTTTGGGGTAGGGAGAGATTTTTGCGTGGCTGGGGTATAACTCTCCAACATGAATTGCTGTTGGATGGAGAAGTCTCTGGAATATTATCGCCATGTCTTCCTAAGCTACAGCTTCTCTGATGCTGGCTGGAGTGGAGGTGATGGTAAAGCCTCAGGGGCTTGTTCAGGGTGGACCTTCGGTTTTACTAGCTAGTCCACAGTGGAATTGAGGGTATGGGATCCGATTCTTGAGATGGGAGTTGCTGAAAGTCCCCATTTTCTCTCCTTGGGTCTTTGAAGAAATAACTTTGATGAGATGTTATTCACATACCATAAAATTCACCCTTCTGAAGTGTAAAATTCAGTGGTTTTTAGTACTCTCACAGTATTGTGTAAGCATTATTGTGTTTCCAGAACATTTTGATTACCCCAAAGAAAAACCTGTCCCCATTAAGCAGTTGCTCTCCTCCTTCCCCACTCCCCCTGCATCCCCTCCCTTCGGCCCCTTCAGTCCCTGTCAGCCACGAATCTATTTTCTGTCTTTATTCTGGACACTTCATATAAATGGACTCAAACAAAATGTGGCCTTTGGTGTCTTTCACTTATAGCATAATGTTTTCAAAGCTGTACATATTTCCATTTCGTGACTGAATAAATATCCTGTTGTATGCATGTACCACATGTCGTTTATCCATTTATCTGTTGATGAACAATAGGTTTTTCCACTTTGTGCTATTATGATTAATACTGCTGTGAATGTTTCTGTACAAGCTTTAGTGTGAGAATGCTTTCAATTCTTAGGGGTATTAACCTACAGTTGCTGGGTCATTTGATAATTCTGTGTTTAAGTTCTTAAAAAATTATTTATTTTTGTCTTTGGCTGTGCTGGGTGTTCATGGCTTTAGTTGCGGTGAGCGAGAGCTATTCCTTTCGTCGTGCGGGCTTCTCAATTTGGTGCTGAGCACAGCGTGGGCTTCACTCGTTGCAGCACGTGTGCTCAGTAGTTGGGGCTTGAGGGCTCTAGAGCACTGGCTCAGGCAGGGCTTGTAGCACACGGGCTTATTTGCTCTGTGGCATGTGGAATCTTACTGGACTAGGGGTCAAACCCGCGTCCCCTGCATTGGTAGGCAGATTCTCAACCACTGGACCACCAGGGAAGTCCTATGTTTAACTTTTTAAGAAACTACATAGTGAGTGTTTTTCCTTTTTTTATTTTTAAAGATTTATTTTTGTCTGTGCTGGATCTTCATTGTTGCATGCAGGCCTTCTTTAGTTGCTGAGATCGGGGGCTACTCTTCGTTGCGGTGCTTGGGCTTCTCCTTGTGGAGCACAGGCTCCAGGGCACACGAGCTTCAGTAGTTGCAGCAGGTAGGCTCAGGAGTTATGGTTCTTGGGCTCTAGAGTACAGAATCAGTAGTTGTGGCGCATGGGCTTAGTTGCTTGTCCGTGTGTGGGATCTTCCCGGAGCAGGGATCAAACCTGTGTTGCCCACATTGCAGGGTGGACTCTTAACCGCTGACCACTAGGGAAGCACCCCTCTTTTCTTATACGCTGTTTTTATTTTAAAAACTTTATTAATTTAACTGATTAACGTGTTTTGGGTTGTGCTGTGTCTTATTGCTGCACTTGAGCTTTCTCTAGTTGCTGTGAGCACAGGCTCCTCTCTAGTTGCGTTGCACAGTCTTCTCATTGAGGTGGCTTCTCCTGTTGCTCTAGGTGCATGGGCTCAGTAGTTGTGCATCGGCTTAGTTGCTGTGCAGGATGTAGGATCTTACCAGACTAGGGATTGAACCTCTGTCCCTGCTTTGGTAGGCAGATTCTTAACCACTGGATCACGAGAGAAGTCCTTTTTTTAAAAAATAATATTTTGTCTATTCTGGCTGTTTTATGTTTTATATGCATTTTAGGATTAGCTTGTGAATTTCTGCCAAAAAAAAAGAAGGCACCTGAGATATTTATGAGTCTATTACTCTCTTTAGATCAACTTGAGTATTTCACCTTAATATCAAGTTATCCAAACTATGGACATGCGATGTCTTTCCATTTATCTGGATCTCTTCTTAAATTAATTTATTTTTAAATGAAATAAGGATAAATATTTTTAATGACGAAAGGTATGATTCACAAACAAGATAGACATCATAAACCGTTAGACACCTAATAACAAGAAGCAAACATAAAGCAAAAATCGAAGAAACAAAGGGAAAAGAAAAAATATATATAATCATTGTGAGATATATTAGCATTTCTCTGAGACTATTTTATCAAGGCAGAAAAAATAGCATCTTGAATGATGTCATTAATAATTTAAATATAATAGATTTCTATTTATATTAATTTAATCTTACATCCTACTTAATTTTACATCCTACACAAATATATTTAAAATTTTGTATCTCATACATAGGACATTTTAAAAAAATGGCAAAAAGATAAACACTAAATTTTAAAAAATAGAATTTTTTTTTGTGATTCAGTTATACATATACACATACTATTTTTGAAATTATTTTTATGTTATTACAAAATATTGATTATAATTCCCTGTAGAATGCTATACAATAAACCTTTGTTGCTTGTTGCATATCTTTTTAAAAAATTAGATACATTGCATTACGTTTCATACTAAGTCAAACAAGTGGAATCAAAATGTCATAAATTTTTTAGTTAGGCAAAAATTCCTAAGTTTTCTAAAACATGTATATGTGTTATTTATTATATGTATACAAGAGCTTTTCTACTACACCTGATAACTTGATAAAGGCTTGAGAAAAACATCAAAAAATGAAAGAGTTGGAAAAATTGGAAAACATAAACTAAATGACATGGGAGCACTGAATATGAAATAGAATAAGTAAAACAAACTAGAAAAAATTAATAAATTTTCTTCTATATATATTATGCATTTGTATGTATATATATGTATATGAAAGATTTTCACTATACTTGATAAAGGCTTCAGAAAGAACATCAAAAAAAAAGAGAGATGGAGAAATTGGAGAACATAAACTGAATGAAATGGGAGCACTGAATATGAAATAGAAAAGTGAGACAAACCATATAGAAATAGTAGATCATCATATAGTTCAGTTCAGTTGTGTCCTACTCTTTGCGACCCCATGGACTGCAGCACGCCAGGCTTCTCTGTCCATCACTAACTCCTGGAGCTTGCTCAAACTCATGTCCATCAAGTTGGTGATGCCATGCAACCACCTTATCCTGTGTCATCCACTTTTCCTCCTGCCCTCAATCTTTCCCAGCATCAGGGTCTTTTCCAAGGAGTTAGTTCTTCACATCAGGTGACCAAAGTATTTGAGTTTCAACTTCAGATTCAGTCCTTCCAATGAATATTCAGGACTGATTTCCTTTAGGCTTGACTGGTTGGATATCCTTGCAGTCCAAGGGACTCTGAAGAGTCTTCTCCAACACCACAGTTCAAAAGCATCGATTCTTCATTGCTCAGCTTTCTTTATGGCCCAGCTCTCACATCCATACATGACTACTGGAAAAACCATAGCTTTGACTAGACAGACTTTTGTCAGCAAAGTAATGTCTCTGCTTTTTAAAATGCTGTCTAGGTTGGTCATAGGTTTTCTTCGAAGGAGCAAGCGTCTTTTAATTTCATGGCTGCAGTCACCACCTACAGTGATTTTGGAGCCCAAGAAAATAGTCTGTCATTGTTTCCGTTGTTTTCCCATTTGCCATGAAGTGATGGAAGTGGATGCCATGATCTTTGTTTTTTTGAATGTTGAGTTTTAAGCCAGCTTTTTCACTTCCTCTTTCACTTTCATCAAGAGGCTCTTTAGTTCTTCACTTTCTGCCATAAGGGTGGTGTCATCCGTGTATCTGAGGTTATTGATATTTCTCCCTGCAGTCTTGATTCCAGCTTGTGCTTCATCGAGTTTGACATGTCACCTGATGTACTCTGCCTATCAGTTAAATCGGCAGGGTGACAGTATACAGCCTTGACATACTTGTTTCCCAGTTTGGAACCAGTCTGTTGTTCCATGTTCAGTTCTAACTGTTCATTCTTGACCTACATACAGATTTGTCAGGAGGTAGGTAAGGTGGTCTGGTATTCCCGTCTCTTGAAACACAGTTTGCTGTGATCTACACAGTCAAAATCTTTCACGTAATCAATAAAGTAGAAGTAGATGTTTTCCTGGAATTCTGTTGCTTTTTCTATGATCCAGTGGATGTTGGCAATTTGATCTCTGGTTCCTCTGCCTTTTCTAAATGCAGCTTGAACATCTGGAAGTTCATGGTTCATGTACTGTTGAAGCCTGGCTTGGAGAATTTGGAGCATTACTTAGCTAGCATGTGAGATGAGTGCAATTGTGTGGTAGTTTGAACATTCTTTGGCATTGCCTGTCTTTGGAATTGGAATGAAAACTGACAAAACAAGGTCATATAGTCCAGTTATTTTTAAACATGACTGCTCATTAGAAACATCTGGAGTTCTGGAGAGAAAAAGCACTACCTGAGCATTTGTGTTTTTCAAAAAATTTCAAAGTAATTCTGATAAGCATCTGGATTTTAAAAAGTGGATTTTACTGGTTTTTCTATTAGATCCTAATTTGCTGGTAGAGTTCTATTATTTTTCTGCTGACCAGTCATGATACAATGGTATTACGTGAGTAATCATTACATAATCACATTAGTGAAAGATGTTTATGAGTTTTCACCATCAATAGCCCGACAAAAACAAATGATTATTACAGTTGCAAGCCATATGGGAACATGATTAACTTAACAATATAAAATAATTACTTAGAGTTTGTGGCGGGGGTGTTGGTCAAGCAGAGTGATGTGGTAAATGGAAGTGCATACATACCCTTGTTTTCATCCACCCAGCCAGTCTGTGTCTTTTGGTTGGTGCATTTGATTACTATGTGTCTTGGTGTGTTCCTCCTTGGGTTTCTCCTGCCTGGGACTCTCTGTGCTTCCTAGACTTGGTTGACTATTTCCTTTGCCATGTTAGGAAAGTCTTCAGATAATCTCTCTTCAAATAATTTCTCAGGTCCTTTCTCTCTTCTCCTTCTGGGATTCCTATAATGCAAATGTTTGTGCATTTAATGTTGTCCCAGAGGTCTCTTAGGTTGCCTTTCTTTTCATTCTTGTTTCTGTATTGTGTTCTGTGACAGTGATTTCCACCATTCTGTCCTCAGATCATTTATCGGTTCTTCTGCGTCATTTATTCTGCAATTGATTCCTTCCAGTGTATTATGCATCTCTGTCTGTTCTTTAGTTCTTCTACTTCTTTGGCAAACATTTCTTGGATCTTCTTAGTCTTTGCCTCCATTCTTTTTTTTTTTTTTCATTTATTTTTATTAGTTGGAGGCTAATTACTTTACATCATTGCAGTGGTTTTTGTCATACATTGAAATTAATTAGCCATGGATTTACATGTATTCCCCATCCCGGTCCCCCCTCCCACCTCCCTCTCCACCCGATCCCTCTGGGTCTTCCCAGTGCACCAGGCCCGAGCACTTGTCTCATGCACCCAACCTGGGCTGGTGATCTGTTTCACCCTAGATAATATACGTGTTTCGATGCTGTTCTCTTGAAACATCCCACCCTCGCCTTCTCCCAGAGTCCACAAGTCTGTTCTATACATCGGAGTCTCTTTTTCTGTTTTGCATATAGGGTTATCGTTACCATCTTTCTAAATTCCATATGTATGTGTTAGTATACTGTAATGGTCTTTATCTTTCTGGCTTACTTTGCTCTGTATAATGGGCTCCAGTTTCATCCATCTCATTAGAACTGATTCAAATGAATTCTTTTTAATGGCTGAGTAATATTCCATGGTGTATATGTACCACAGCTTCCTCATCCATTGGTCTGCCGATGGGCATCTAGGTTGCTTCCATGTCCTGGCTATTATAAACAGTGCTGCGATGAACATTGGGGTGCACGTGTCTCTTTCAGATCTGGTTTCCTCGGTGTGTATGCCCAGAAGTGGGATTGCTGGGTCATATGTTTGCCTCCATTCTTTTCCCGAGATCCTGAATCATCTTTACTGTCATTATTCTGATTTCTTTTTCTGTAAGGTTGCCTGTCTCCACTGCATTTAGTTGTTTTTCTGGGGTTTTGTCTTGTCCCTTCACCTGGGACATACCTTTCTGCTTTTTCATCGTGATTAACTTTCTGTAATGTGGGTTTTGTTTTAGTTACTGTGGGACTGTGCTTCTTCTTGCTTCTGTCTGCCCTCTAATGGTGGAGGCTAAGAGGCTTGTGTAAGCTTCCTGATGGGAGGGACTGGTGATGGGAAAAACTGGGTCTTGCTTTGGTGGGCAGGACCTTGCTTAGTAAAGCTTTGTAATCCTATTACCTGCTGATGGGTGGGTTTGTGCTCCTTCCCTGCTGGATGTTTGGCCTGAGGGGACCCAGCCCTGGGGTCTATAATCAAGTTAATGGTGACCTCCAAGAGGCTTTACCCCAAGGGGAACCTTCCCAGACTGTTGCTTCCAGTGCCCCAGTCCCTGTGGTGTGCTCCTCCTGAGGCCCTCCAACACTAGCAGATAGTTTTGGTTCAGTCTCCTGTGGTGTCATTGCTCCTTTTCTGAGTCTTGGTTTTATTTTGTTTTGTTTGTGACCCCCAAGACTGGAGTCTCTATTTGCCCCAGTCCTGTGTAAGTCTTGTAGTAAAATCCCACTGGCCTTCAAGGTCAGATTCCTTGGGAATTCCCAGTCCCTTTGTGGGATCCCCAGGTGGGACGCCTGATGTGGGGTTCACAACAGTGGGAAAACTTCTCTGGTATTACTCTTCTCCAGTTTGTGTGTCACCTACCCAAGGAGTATGGGATTTGATTTTATCGTGATTGTGCCCCTCCAACTGTCTCATCTTGGCTTCTTTGTCTCTGAGTGTGGGATACCTTTTCTGGTAGGTTCCAGCATCCTCCTGTCAATGATTGTTCAACAGCTAGTTGTGATTTTGGTGTTCCTGCAGGAGATGAGCACACAGACTTTTACTCTGTCTTGAACTGGAACCTCTTATCTAGGTCTCCTCCTACTTTTTTCAGTGATTTTTTTTTAGTTCTCACTGTGTTTGCACATCTTTTGTTAAGTTATTCCTAAGTTTTTTCTTTATGTATCATAAATGGAATTGTTTTCATACTTTTATTTTTCACAGTGTTCATTGTTGATAAACGTGATTTTTGTCTATTTTGTATCCTGTAACCTTGCTGAACTTGTTTATTATAATAGTCTTTTAGTGATTCCTTAGAATTTTCCTATATAAAGGATCATACCTTGAGCATTTTTAAACCCTCCTGGTTGTTCTAGGAAGTGTTTTGGACCTAGGGAAGCCCCTTCCTCATCCAGGCTTCATACATTTGACCCTGGCTCTCCCTCAGGAGGACCCCTCGCTGGAGAGGCATTTTAAGGGCCATCGAGATGCAGTCACCTCTGTGGACTTCAGTCTCAACACAAAGCAGCTGGGTAAGAGGAGACATCTTGGACTGAGAAGGTCAAGTTTCTACCTGGGAGGTGTGGCATGGGGGGAGCAGGGCACAATAACTCAGGTGCTTTCCCTAGACCTACAGCCTGCTTCAGCCAGCCAGCGCTCAGGGCACTAGGCTTTATGAGTTCCATTCTGCACATGGAGTGTGAGGCTCAGAGAGGTTGGGGATCTTGCTAAGATCATACAGCCTTTGAGAGTAGGACCTAGTTCTGGGCTTTTCCCTCCACACCCCGTCTACCTCTGAGGTCTGCCCTCAGAATGGCCCTAAACAGTAGCACTTTCCTTGGGTCGTTACTGATTCTGCTGTCCACAGTGCCATGGGCACGCCTTATTGAAGATGCCCACCAGTGAGAAAGCTGTGGAGCAGAGCCGGGTATGCCCTTCCCCCCTCTGCCCTTATGCTGCAGCTGAGTGCCCCCTTCTTGGCCATTTGAGGGTTCATACATGGCTGTCATGGCTGCAGTTTTCCTGTTTCTATGGATGAGCTTCTCTCTTCATGCCATCGTCAAGGTCCCCTGCCGGAGACTGCTGGTTTCATGATACACTGGAGGTTAAAAGGAAACCAGAGTCATTTGGGGTCTGTTTTGGGGCCCTTCTGATGGATCCTCTTAACGGTAACGAGCCCACTGGATTGAGCTGGCTCTCCAGTTTTAGGAGGACTTGCTCTCTAGAGCGTCCGAGTGTGTCTCTGGGGCGACCTGGGACCTTTGCAGCCCAGGGCTGGCTTGTGATGGGCTTCTCTTGGGCTGGTTCCTGTGTGGACCTGCTGCCTAGAGAGTCAACAGGCCATAGGCTCTCCACACCCCCGCTCAGCAGTCACTGGAGGTGTGACTGTGAAGACGGGGAAGATGGAGCTGGCTGTGACACTGACTTTCCCTGCTGCCCACCCTGCCCCAGCTCCTGGTGGAGGCTCCAGCCTGCTCGAGCTGAGAGTCATGTGTCTGCTGTCTCCTCAGCCAGTGGCTCCATGGACTCGTGCCTTATGGTGTGGCACATGAAGCCCCAGTCACGTGCCTACCGGTTTGCTGGCCACAAGGACGCCGTAACCTGTGTGAACTTTTCCCCTTCGGGACACCTGCTTGCTTCTGGCTCCCGTGACAAGACTGTCCGCATATGGGTACCCAACGTGTGAGTTAAAGATGTGAAGGGGCTTGTCTGAGTCTTGGCCCTGGTGCTGAACTGGTCACAGTAGGACGTCTGCCTCACTTCCGAGGGGGTGCCGTTAGAAGCTGGGGCTTCAGTCAGGGCCCTCCCCTCAGGGTCAGCAGGGAGATTCTGGGCTGACCCCAGCCATCCTGGGAGAATCCCACCTGATGCTGCTTGCACGTGGGTGTGGTGGGCAGGGGTTCTGCTCCTGTGGGGGAGGCTGTTGATTCCCTTTTTGGGGACTGGGGTACTCAGGCCTGGATTGACTTTGGGAGGGTCCTGAGGAGTGGGGAGAGCTTTGGTGTGCCCTTACGTTGCTGTTATGGGTTTATGGATTTCCTGACTTTAGATACCCATCCTTGCAGCAAAGGCGAGTCAACTGTGTTTCGTGCACACACAGCCACAGTGAGGAGTGTCCATTTCTGCAGCGATGGCCAGTCCTTCGTGACAGCCTCCGACGACAAGACAGTCAAGGTGTGGTCAACTCATCGCCAGAAATTCCTGTTCTCCTTGAGCCAGCATATCAACTGGGTCCGCTGTGCCAAGTGAGTATAATCCTACCTGGAGATTGTTGGAGAAACCCCAGGGGTTGGGGGTACAGAAAAGATGCCAGGTGCCATCATCCTGACCTTGAACAAGTTACTTAGTCACTCTTTACTTTTCCCGAGCCTCAGAATCCTTATCTGTGAATAAGAACATTAATAGTTCTCACATTGTAAGCTGTCAAAGTTTCACCGAGCTAATGCATGAGGGATAAGTTAGCCAGTTGCTGGCCACAGTCGACCCCCCCTACATCTGTGCTGACGCAGCCCAAAGTGGGTCATCAGGGGCCACTTCTTAGCAATAGCAACAACAACAAGATAACGTCATACCATCTCTAGACATTTTCTTCTAACTCCTCATGGCAGTCTTGCAAGTTGGTGGCTTTGTTGCCATTTTGCAGATGAGGAACCTGAGGTTCAGAGCAGTGCAGTATCTTGCCCTTCAACACAGAGAGTAAGTGGCAGAGGTGGGCTTAGAAGCTGGGTCCATGGCACTGAGGCTTGCCTCCTTAGCTCTTGGATGCTCTGCTCCTCGGAGGTGGGTTTTGCTCCAGAGCTGCCTGATGGGGGCCCAGGCTTCTGATGGGTTTGGTCTGGAAGCTGGTTTTCCTTTTGGTACGGGGGCCAGTACTGTGGGGGTGAGGCCAGGTTATGAAAGTACTTTTAAAGGCCTAAAAGCTGCAGACACAGCTGTGCCTACTTCTGGTTTATTCTGTTTATTTCAACAGATCTCACGTGTCAAATCTCTGTGCTCCAGAGGAAAAGGTTGGGGTGTCTGGGGACACCAGGAAACCAGGGAGTCAGAGATTGGGACTGTTGACCTGTGCTCTTCTGGGGACCCCATGAAGTTGCTTGTTCTCTAGGACACTCGGTTCTCTGTCCTGGGAGGTCCCTGGCTGTTGCGAGAGGCCCTCACCATTGAGCTCCTGAGAGTAGGAGGAGCCCAGCCAGCAGTTGAGTGTTGAACTCATGCCAGGCCTTTGGTGGTGGGTCTCTAGAACCTCGATCCTTTTTGGTTGGCATCTGGTTTTGCTGACTCGTTCTCAGAGTCACATGTGGACTCAGGGCATCTGGGGACAGGATAACGATGTCCATAGTGAGCTTTGGGCCACTTTGATGCTACAACACCAGAGTCAGCATACATGTTGCCATGTGCAGTGTTGGTCACCCCTTGGGGGTGACGTCTTACCTGCTCACCAGAAGGTGGGCACCCTTCTGGCCCATCTTGCAGAGAAAAGAGCATTTGCCCTGGATCACTCAGGGTCAGAGCAGGGTGTGTGGCCCCAGTGCATTCCTGTGCTGGGCAGCTCAAGAAGAGTGACTGGAAGGCGGCGTGTGGCGCCTGTGATGTCTGTTGATTGGTGTTGTGTCTCCTGTCACCCCGGTTCAGGTTCTCCCCGGATGGGCGGCTCATCATATCCGCCAGTGATGACAAAACTGTCAAACTGTGGGACAAGACCAGCCGGGAGTGTATCCACTCGTACAGTGAGCATGGCGGGTAAGTTCCTAGATCCTCTCCACCACCTGTAGGCCCTGGGGAACAGCACAGACTAGGGCATGAAAAGGCCTTAGGGGCCTCTGGTGGTGGCATTTGGGGCCCACAGCCATGTCTCTGCTGTTCCCTGGCTCTGCATCTTTTCGTTTGTGTGTGTGTGTGAGAGAGAGAGAGAGGGAGAAAGGTTCTGCCTCATTCCCATCCCCATGAACAATAAGAGGCTTAATCTCAAGGCATGAAACTCTTGGGGCTCTCTCTTCCCTTCATTTTCTAGTTCTCAGAATTGTGACACGTCTGTCTGAAGAAGTTGAACCCAGACCCCCAAAAGGATGTTAGTATGTTCTCCTCGGTGACGACTTTATAAATGAAAGGCTATTCAGGTTCTTGTGGCAGATGGTGGCTGTTTGTATTGTGTGGCATCACTGAGAGAGGAGCCTGTGTTTGAGCAGGAACTCACCTGATCTGGGTCCCCGAATGAACCCCAGCTTCTGCCCCCAGTAAGCTGAGACCCCCACATCAGGGCCCCTCCTGAGGCCACAGTACCATCCTGGGTGTCACATATGAGTCTATTGAGGGCCCTAGGCTTGTCTCCTAGGAATAGGTGAGCAGAGGATCTGGAACCTGCTGGCCCCTCCTATCTGGGCCTCAGTTGTCAGGGCCTGCCCGGCCTCTGGCTCAGGTGGGGGCACCGGCTCTGACTGAAAGCCTGCAAGCAGCTGGCTGACCTTTGGTCTGAAGAGCAGTGTCTCTGCTCACATTTAGAGGTTTGTGCTGAGACTTGCTTCTGGAAGTCCCCCTCAGGTCACTCCTAGCTCTTTCCTCACCCTCTCTCTCCTTTCTGCCTTCCCTTGGCCGCCCAGTAAAGACACAGGGCAGCAGGGAGGTGTTCTGCGCTGAGGGAATGGCATGAGCAGATGTGCGGGCATGGGGAAGTGCTGGATGTTTTGGAGTCTGTTCTGAGTCAGGTGAGACCTCCTACAGCACTCGGTGGCCCCCTCTTTCCAGCTTTGTCACCTACGTGGACTTCCACCCCAGTGGTACGTGCATCGCTGCTGCCGGCATGGACAACACAGTGAAGGTGTGGGATGTGCGGACTCACCGGTTATTACAGCACTATCAGTGTGAGTGTCCCCAAGGGGCTGATGCGGGGCTGTGCCGCGCCAGGTGTCTAGCTCAGGGCTGCGGGGCTTCACTGGGCCCCAGGACAGCCCTGGCTAGCTGTAGGGAGCCCTGGGTCTGTTGGGATCTCCAGGGGTGGGTCGTCTATGGCGTGGCTGTCTGGAAACTTGGCTCGGGGATGGAAGGGTTTACTATCTGGCATCCACCAGCCCTCTGGTGGCCATTTGTGAAGTGGCAGAGCCTCACGCACACTGAGGGCTAAATGGGGGCTCCCCTCTCGAGGGGCACTTCTCTGGGGCTGCGTATGCCACTTGCCTCCCCCTGTAACAGACGCTCCGTGCTCTGGGGCCAGGCTGATAGCCCTGGAGGTGGTGAGGGGACAGGTTTGTCAGAAGAGCTCCGTGTTGGTGGGACCTCGGGCACCTCTGGCTCCATGGTGTCCTCCACAAACGTGGAGCCAGGAGCTGTTTGGAGGGTCCATTTGTTAGGGACCAGGCTTGTAAACACAGCCCTGGTGCTGTGTCTCCTTATTTAATTGTAGCTCTTGGGAGACAGGGTGGTGGGCTGTCAATATGGGCTGGTGTCAGGCTCCAGGAGGGAGATGGGGGTGGGGTTAGTCTTGTGTGAGCTCAAGATGAGATAGCTGAAGCTACGGGGGTATGGAACTGGCCTCAGGGCAGGTGTGACTGGGCAGAGCTGTGAGTCACCACAGTTGTGGGGATGGGGACCTGGGAAGGGAGGTGGTGAGGTGCCACAGGAGGAACTGGGAGTTCTGTCGGAGGCTGAATGGGTGGATAGACCTGGGGGTTTGGGGCAAGACCAGGGAGAGTCAGAGCTAGAGTAGTTTGAAGAACTGTGATTGTGGACTTGGGACTAAGTTTCAAGGCTCACTTACAAAATTCACACCCGAAAATGGGAAGGACAGTTCAGTTCAGTTTAGTTGCTCAGTCGTGTCCGACTCTTTGCGACCCCATGAACCGCAGCACACCAGGCCTCCCTGTTCATCATCAACTCCCAGAGTTCATCCAAACTCATGTCCACTGAGTCGATGATGCCATCCACCATCTCATCTTCTGTCATCCCCTTCTCCTGCCTTCAATCTTTCCCAACATCAGGGTCTTTTCAAATGAGTCAGCTCTTTGCATCAGGTGGCCAAAGTATTAGAGTTTCAGCTTCAACATCAGTCCTTCCAATGAACACCCAGGACTGATCTCCTTTAGGATGGACTTGTTGGATCTCCTTGCAGTCCAAGGGACTCTCCAGAGTCTTCTCCAACACCACAGTTCAAAAGCATCAATTCTTCGGTGCTCAGCTTTCTTTATGGTCCAGCTCTCCCATCCATACATGACCACTGGAAAAACCATAGCCTTGACTAGACAGACCTTTGTTGGTCCTGCTTTTTTTGCCTCTGCTTTTTAATATGCTGTCTAGGTTGGTCATAACTTTCTTTCCAAGGAGTAAGTGGAGAAGGACATATCTGTACAAAGTTGTGGGGTGTGGGGTTCAGAGTTCTCCCCTTGCACCCCCAACAAGCTGTTCTGAGTCTTAGATGTTTGAGGCTAACATTTTTTGGGGTGACTAAAGAAACAGACCTTCCAAGAAGGGAGAGTGGATCCTGGTCTTGAAAAGCACATGGTCGAGAATGGCTCTTCACACACCTTCAGCATTCCTCGCTGGGTGAGTTTGGGCAGGTTACTTGACTCTGTGTACGCCTGGGACAATGATGAGACGTGTTTCATAGGTGGTGTTGGGAGTGTGATGAGTTGGTCCGTGACAGGAACTGAGAGAATACCTCTCTAAGTTGTGTTGGTGATGCTGATGCTGCTGAGTCTGTCCTGGGGTCCTCAGGTCTGGTTTCCTAGCAAGGCTGGCCCAGCTGGCCCAGGCCTGCAGTACTGCACACCACCACCAGGTGGCACGGGCCAGCCACAGAGTGGTTCTTGCTTCAACAGGAAACTCTGGGGTTTGTCACTGATGGCTGTTTCAGACAGCAGCTTCTAGAACAGAGCGCCAGCAGGGTCTGCCCTCTCCTTGGAGACCACGCCTCTCCTCTCCTTCAGGCTTAGAGGTCTTTCTCCTGCTTTGGGCCAGGCCCAAGTTGGAAACTGGGTACATCAGCACACTGATGGGGGAAGTAGGAGGAGCAGAGTGGTGCTGGGCGGGAATGCTCTCTCTGAGTGTGAGGTCAGGGCGCCTTGGACAGGGAGAGATGGCAGGGAAGTGATGAGGCAGAGTAGCGTCTGGACTCTGCTTCCCGTCTGTGAAGAGGTGGTGGTAGCCTGCCTGATGGGATTTGTGAGGATCTGATGGGAGAATCCAAATGAGGATTACAGTCTAGTACTGGGTGTGTGGTTTTACCACATAAATCTTTGTATTGGTGGGGAAAATCTCCAGGTGACCCTGGGAGAGTCCAGGCACACATCTGATGGATCGGGTGCCTGGTGTTGACGAGGTACAGCAACAGGTACCTGCAGGGGAGGGCCTGGGGCGCCATGCTGTAGCCCATGTTCTGGCTGGACATGCTGGGATGGGGTGAAGAGGTGACAGGCATCTGAGAGGATAGCAGTGCTGAGAGCCTGCTTGAGTGGGAAGCCATGTGCCTGGTGGGCGGGCTGTCCATGCCCGATGTTGGGTGAAGGCTGGACATGAGAGTGAGGCAGGGGTCAGGCCCAGAAGATGGGTTCTGGAGACTGCATAGCGGCAAAGCTGATGCTATGGGGTGGAGGGGCCAGCTGATCCCTGGGGATCTGGGGTGTGAGAAGGTCTGAGGACACATCCTGCATCTCTGAGCTTGAGGGGCCATGGAAGAAAAAGATCCACAAAGCATCCAGAGTGACGGGTGGGAGCCTGGTCTCCCCGCAGTGGACGGCTAAGGAGAGTGGAGCCGGGGGAGTGGAGGAAAGCAGGGTGTCTTGAAGAGGGTGGTCAGGGGTGTGGTGACCCACAGCCTGGAGGAGAGTGGAGGGTGCTGGGGAGAGGTACCTCGGGTTCTTGAGGGAGCAGGCTTGGCAGCAGGTGGGGGTGGGAGGTCCATGATTAGCAGGGCTGGGGGGTGGTGGGTGGACTCAGGTGGCATCAGAAGTCGAGTCCTGAGGGGGCCTGAGGTGCATGAGGCTGATGGGCTCCGCAGGGGAATTTCCGTATGTTAGTACAGCTGTCCTTTTCTCTCATGACAGCCACTCAGCAAGCCTGAAGCATTTGATTCCTAAGCACCACCCCCGCCTTAGGGACCAGAGACTTCAGGGGTCTGAAGCACCCCACAGACAGCTGTATTCCCTCTGAACTCCCTGCCCAGTGCATGGCACACAGCAGCTATTCACAAGGCAGCAGGCTTATCCCACCACCTCTGGGCTCAGCCTCCAGGGCTCAAGGAAACCTTGAGCCCTTGATTGAGGGTCCACCCCTCACCCTTTTTGCTGGGCGGGGGACCTGGTCAGGTCTGCTCAGGTCCAGCCGCTCCCCTTGAGAGTGCCGTGGCAGCACCTTCGACCTGAGAGGTGCTCCTAGCCCCTGAGTAGCAGCTGTCCACCCTACCACAAGAGGTGGGGGGATCCCTGGGAGGCTGAATCGCCAAGAAGGGCTCCCAGCCCCTTGGCAACAGGCCCCTAAGTTGTTTTCTGACCCCTTAAGACACCCAGGGGAAAGTTTTTAAGGCCAGTGACATCCAGTGTCTCCCCTGATTGGGGTTTGAGTGCATAAGACTGTTGTGCTTTTCCGAGAGATTGGTTTGTGATATTGCAGTGTGTTGCCAGCAAGCCCAGGCTGCCTGTGGCCACCCACCAAAATCCTGCTCTGTGGAGGGTACTTCCCGTCCCTTGTTGGGGTGTTAGAATCACTTTGGGTGACAGCAGGTGGCTGGCACCCTTTGTCTCAGGCGAGGAGTGTCTTGCTGTGGCCTGTCACTGCGGGGAGCAGTTCTGATTTCCCAATTCAGCAAGGAGTTGGTGGGGTGCTGGAGCCCTGGGAGTGCCAGTCCCCATGGACGTGGCTTAGGCGCCATATGCTCGGAGCCCACACTAAGACTGTTCAAACATCTGAGCAGCCTTGTCCCCGATCGCTTCATGTGCTTTGTGGTTTCCAGGCACGTGTGTTCGATATCCAGGGACAGGCCTGGGTGGTCAGCAGGGCAGGGCTGCTTCCTATTTCACAGATGGGGTGTTTGAGGCTTGCCTGGGTCGTGCAGTGAAGAAGCTGCGGATTCCTCACACTGTTGATTCCAGTCATTTACTTGCCCAAGGCCTCTGAGAGGACTTGGCTCTCTCCAGAAGCTCCATTAGAGCTCAGAGTTCCAGCTTCTCTGTACACTGGTCCTTAGCAACCCCCTGGATGCCCCGCCCTACCCCAGACATGGTCATGGAAGGTTTTAAAGCTCCTGTGTAGCCAGCAGGTCAGGTCTGCACCCTTTTTGGGTTTTGGAAACTGAAAGGGTTGATCGTGAGGCCTGGCACTGTCCCACCTGATCTGGCCAACTCACTGCCTCTCCCCCACCTTCCCTGAGCCAGCTTCACACAGCATTCCTGAAGAGCAGTGTTAAGAGTGTCCTTTGCTGCTGGTATCAGAACACCTTCACTGTGTGAATCCATAGGTCTTGTACGCCCACAGCCTCTGTGTCACTCGTGATGCCAGTTGTGTTGTGAGAGCCACCCTGGGTGATAGGTGCCGAGCCCCTTGGTGGGGTGGGGAATGTGGTGCGGCTTGGCACTGGTGTGGCCTGTTGCCGGAAGGGACCTGCTGCTTGGGCACCTGGGTCCCTTGGCCAGTTTGGAGCCCATTGGGCAGGGGGGCAGGTTTGCTGAGGGTTCAGCAGGAAGAGCTGTGCAGTCAGGTTGTGGATGCCCAGGTGTCTCCTTAGGCCACAAGCTGTGACCTGTTCCAGTACTGGGGGCAGGGTCTGCAGTGACCTCAGGCCCACTCCCTGGTGACCTGTAGGACCTCGAGCTGGTACATCTCTGACCCTGAGTTGCATCTCTTCTCTGGGGTAGTGGTGGGGGGAGGGGGTGGAGTGTAGCCCACAGCTGTGCCTGATTGGCAGCCTGCCATCAGCCGTCACTCATGTCTGCCGTGGAGCCAGGCGGAGGGCCTGCAGCTTCGGGCTTGGTGAAAAGTGGATTGTTTGTGGGCCATCACTGCTCAGGGTTTTGTGACAGGAGGCTCACCCCCTCGTGGGGCAGCTGGGCCTCCGTCGTGCAGGGCTAACTCTTTAAGAGGCCTCCCTGGCACAGTCCCACCCTCTGCAGAGCCGGAGAAGCTGCCCCAGGCTGACAGGGCTGGGGGATGAGGCGGCTGAGCGATTGGGGAAAGGGGGTTGGTTCTGGGGTCTAGCACATCTCCAAAAGCCTGGCTTGCCAGGCTGAGCCCTCTTCTGCAGTAAATGGTTCCAGGTATTTCTACCCCAGCCAGGAGGCCTTTGCTACTCCTGCCATTTACTGTGGAGCAAGACTTCGGGCACCCTTCCTCAGGGAGGAGGGGTAGTTCCCTCCCTTGGGTGGCCTTGGCCAGGTGGGAGGCCCTGGCATGGTAGCTGCGCCCTGCCCCTGCACCTGGCTGATGCTGGACAAGCCCTGTGCTCCCTGAGCTTGCCTCCCCGCCCCATCCTGCTGCTGGCTTTCCCAGCTTTGTATCAGGTCGGGGCGGGGGTGGCACTCATGCCAGCACAGGCTGCCAGGGGCTGCAGAAACAAGAATAGTGTGCCGTTCTCTGGGCTCAGGGAGGCAGGAGTGCCAGGAGCAGCATTTTGAGGAGGCCCAAGAGGAGATGGGGGTGTGGTGAGGTGGGGGTGGGGGTGCGCAGCTGACTCTCCACGCTGTCTGCCCTGGGGCTGAGGGCTCAGGGGATCTGGCTGTGTTTGCCTCCGCCCCCCCACCCCAAGACCCCTGACTTCACCGCTAGTGTGAAGCTGCTTTCTGGTGAACGCAGCCCCTCGGGAGCAGGGCACTGGCTCGCAGCCTAGACACGCACACCCTGAGGTGCCTGCAGGACCCTGTCTCCTGCTCCCCAGACTTGACACTCTTTCAGGGTGAAGGAAGGATTCACGTTTTAAACATTCACTCAATTGTGTCATCATAGTGACTATAGTCTAATGCTGAAAAAATACATTCTGAAAGTATGTAGATGAACAATTAGAGGTCCCCCTATTCCTGTCCTCCTCAGAGAGAAGTCCTGCTCTGTGTCAGGAGCTTCAATCCACACTTCTTCTGGGTCTGCACATGTCGGTGTTCCCCCCTACACGTGGGGGTCTTGGTCATACTCTATGCGCTATTCATGTTCTTCCTGCTACTGTGTGTGGCTGGTGCCTGTTCAGTTCAGCTGGGGTTGCTATGACTTTTCCTCTGCTCTCCATGCCCCTATTTTTGGTAAACACTGCTGCCCCTTTCCCTTTAACCCTGGGTGTAGGAGTGTGTTGGGCTGTGGGGGCTCTGGACTCTGGCTCCAGGAGCTGACTCTGGGGATCCCGGCAGCCCCACTCCAGGCCATCTTTTGGAGTTCTGGTGCTGAGAGTGTTCAGACCTAAATATCGTGTTATGTAAAGTCCTGGCTGTCTCCCCTAAGTGTGCTCAGGAACGTGAATCCACAGTCCCCAGCGTCTGCATGTTGGCCGGGCTGGTGTTTGAGGGGTTCTGTGCACCTCTGTCGGCTCTGTGGAGGGCTAGTTCATGGTGGGCGTGTTTATTGGCCCAGCAGTGATTCCTGCATGCTTACGTGCCAGGATGAGGGGTTGGTTTTAGAATTTGCCTTTATATTTATGGCTGTTCTGACTTGGTGGGTTCATGGTTACTGTAGTCTTGCTGATTGCTGCCCCCAGGCCAGTAGTAGTGGGTATGGAGGCAGCAGGTCTTCCTCAGCAGCTGCTCTAAGAAGCTGAGATGTGGCTGGCTGGTCCATGCACTGCCCATCCCCGTGTGTCCTGTCTGGGTCCTGTCTGAATCCCACTCACCAACTGCTTTTTGAGACCCGTTAGGTGTCAGGCCTTGAGCCGGGAGTCAAGGACCCAATACAGCCCCTGCCAGGTGGAGCACATGGTCTCTAGGGGACCCAGTGGGGATGAAATAACTGCACATAAATGCAAAACCCTTGCTTTGAAGAGGCTCATGGTGCTTCAGGAGGCCAAAACAAGGCCCTGATGGCGAGGTCTAGGGAGGCTTCCCTGGGGCAGTAACTGAACATTGAGCTGCAGGGTCAGGGGAAGAGGCCAGCAAGGGTCTTCCCGGCTCAAGGGGAACAAGGGGTAGGAATATCCCCCAGCTAGGGAGCCGACAGGGCTGGGGGTCAGGTCTTGGAGAGTGAGGGACAGCAGTGTGGATTGTGGGGCTTGGGCTAGAGTAGTAGGGAAGAGTCACGGAGGGGCTTGAGCTGTTAAGGGGGTTAAGTGGAAGGACCTGGAGTAGCGTCGGATGCCTGGGGTGGTGGAGGGGGCATCAGGCTCGCTTTGTATAGGCCTCCTAGGCATCATCTGGTAGCCTCCCCACAGGAGGAGAAGCAAGCTCAGCGTGTCAGGGTGGGCCAGTTGGGAGGCTGGGATTAGAACTCCGGCCTATCTGGCTCCCGAGAGCTTGTCTTCGCTGTCTTCTCACCCACCCCACTCACGTTCTTTCCCTCAGGGCAGGGGTGTTGTATTGGCATTTCAGGGGTTTACTTTTCCATTTGGTTTCCCTGAAGTGGCAGCGTGTGAGACAGAGTGAGGGTTATGTTCAAGCACTCTGTTCGTCTCTAACTTGATGCTTGGTTAGGAGGGAGAGGCAGAGGGATGGCTTGATCCCACTGCCTGCCATTGGGCTCTGGGTGGGTCTCTTCCTGTCCTTTGCTCATACTGCCCTCCTGGAAAGTCCTTGTGAGGCTCCTCACAGCAGCTTGGGGTGACTGCTGCCCTGGCCCAGCGCTCTGCGGAGCCTTGGTCCCGCATGCTATCTTTTGGCTTCATGGGCCTCCCAGCCTGCACCTGACCGCCGTCCTTCCCCCAGTGCACAGCGCAGCGGTGAACGCCCTCTCCTTCCACCCGTCGGGGAACTACCTGGTCACAGCCTCCAGCGACTCAACCCTGAAGATCCTGGACCTCATGGAGGGCCGGCTGCTCTACACACTCCACGGCCATCAGGTGAGGGCATCAGCCTGGGCGGGGTGGCATGGAGTGAGATGGAGGTGCCGCCTCAAGGTGACCCTTCCCTTGGCGCCTGATGGGGGGGTGTTAGAGTGTTTTGCATCTCCCCACAGCCTGGGCAGTGGGGTGAGGTGCAGAAAGAGGTTTTCTACCCATGAGAGCTGTGACCTCTGCAGAAGTGCTCAGCAGCTGAGGAAGGAGCACAGGGGTTCAGTTGGATGGGGGTGGGGAGGGAGGCATTTGGACGTGGTTGGCAGGGTTTCTCTAGGGGCTGAATGGAGTCTGTCCCAAGTGACCTCCAGCCTCCCTTGGTGGCGTGGTTGAGGAGAGCCCTGGGACCCATTCCATGAACAGCCATCAAGCCTCCTGGAGCCCTTTGGAGGCAGAAACAACAGGTGCCTTGCAGAGGTGGGCATGAAGGAGGGAAATCTTCCCACACATTTGCTGAGGAATTCCCAGAGTTGAATCAAGGAGAGGGGCCTTTTCTCTGAGCCGCTTTTAGCAACACATCCGTGCCTTGGCTTCCTGTGTGGGCAGTGACTGGGCACGGGCCCTGGTGGTGGGCTGTGGGAGGTGGGTTGCCTAAGGCTCTGCCCCGCAGCCACCCTGGGTATGGCTGAGTGTCTCCTGCTGAGTAGAGTGGTCAGCAGAGTGTCTCCTGTTGGGACAGAGACCATAGCATTTCCATTTGTCCACATCTCTGTTTGTGAGCAGGCGCAGGCAGGATGGAGAATAGGGGCACTCTTGAGGACTGAGGGAGGCTCTGGGGTGCTCATGTCTCTTGGGCCAGCAGCTAGGTTTGAGGTGTCTACCCCAGGGCCCTCTGGATCCCGCTGCCACCTGAGTTGGGGTGTATAGGGCCTTGGCTGGGTCTTGTGGGGGCACAGGCCTTTTCTTCTGCTTCCTTGGGACGTGGAGGCCACTTGCCATCAGCCATGGTGATCCCTTGTCTGTCAGAGACATGTCTGGTGTGCAGGAGCCACGGACCTGTTCCCCTAATGTTAACACATCTAGGCGTCATGTGTGGCCACTGGGCTGAGGTGACTGCTGCTTTTGTTGTCAACCTGTGGGGGAATCACCTTGCTTAGCCCTTTGGCAGTCTGATTACTTTAGATTCGTGCATAACCAGTTTTGGACCTTATAACCAGGAGGGCATTTGAAAACCACGTAAAGGCTGCTACCTTTTGTGTTCCGATGAGAAAGAAGGAAAAGAAATGCACAGAAATACTGTGCAGACAGGTGCATACCAGGTGATCAGCCTGTTCTTTTCTTTTTTCTTGTGAGTGTTCTTTAGACAGCTGACTCACCTCTGAGCCTGAAAAGCCTTGAATGCAGCGTCTACAGGGGCATTCCTGAGCTCAGGCCCAGCATCAGCGCACAGGGGAACCTGTGGATATTGTTCTCTCGGAGAAGCAAGACAGGGGCCAAGATAAGTCATGTGGGTGCCTGTCTGCCATTGAACCTGGAACGTGGGAGCTAGGCTGAGGACAGCTGGTAGTTTGGGGTGTAGAGAATGGGAAATGGCTCCAGGAATCAGTTCTTCCTCAGGGCACCAAGCTTGCAGTGCCCAGAGGAAGGGGGAAGAAAGCGAAGCAAGCTCACCCCTATTCATCTTGCTGTCCATTTGTCATCCGCTCCCCAGCTCGCTGGGCTGGGCATCAGGGGTATGAAATGGGCAGTGGTCCCGTCCCCTGGGGCTCATGCCTGGCAAGCAGGGGACTCCCTGGGGCCATCAGCAGAGCTGAGGTGGCATGAGATGCATTAGGAAATGAGGAGAGGCAGGTTGAGTCTTGAGTGGTATGAAGGGTTAGGTGAAGTAGAGTGGGCTTCTCCCCCAGAGTGCTGCTCAGATCAAAGTGGGAATCGGAGTGTGAGGCTCACATTTGTTTCTGTTTTGACCCTTGAAAATCCCTACCAGGTACAGACACTTAGCATTGGTGTGCTGCAGGCCCTAGTGTCTTGGGTTTAGGGTGATTCACAGTCAGTTAAGGGTGCCTTCCTTAGAAAGGATAGTGTGGTTGAGCAGCCTTGATTGGGGCAGTTGTTAAAAACAGCCTGCCAGCCAACCTGAATACCTAGAGCAGATAGACATCTGGGCTAGGAGCAGGAGTGGCTTTTCTCTCACCGAGGGGACAGATGTGTGGAGGTTAGACCTGTGTTGTCACTGGGAGCCAGTATGCTCTGTAAATGCCCCTGACCTGTGAGGGTCTATAACGTGTTATCGGGCCAGTGGTTCCACTCCAGGAATCAGTTCTTGGACACCTGTGTTGCCCCTTTGGAGAATGTTATCTCCCTGGCCAAGCCCCAGGGAGAGGGCCTGTACCGTGGCTGAGGAGTGCAGCTCTACCTGCATGCTCCATGCAGCGTCTGGTCGGAGGCTACCCCCTCATGAAGTGCCCCCAGCCCTGTCCTTCCAGGAAGATGTGCAGCTGCACTCTTTGGCGACTTGAGCTTCTACATTCTGTTCCGGGAGGTGACTGAGGGCCTCACCCAGCACAGCTGTCACTGGCCACTTCCTAAAGCCTGTGGCTGAGCAGCCCCGTGGCTCCCTAGTGGCCCCGGATACCCAGGAATTCTGTCCCATGGAGTAGTTGGCAGATTTGAAAGCACCTTTGAGTCCTGGTGGGGGAATTGAGGCCTAGAGAATGGTCTAGGCAGCTTAGGGTTGTTGAACCTGGGACAATTAACCACATCTACAGTTTCCACCACACCCGCTGACCTCATACGTATGACTGTTAGAAGCTGAGTTGTAGTCTCACTCTTGTTTTTAGTAATAGATTACTGGTCTGTGTAGGGGGCCAGCAGTCCTTATGGCTTCTAGTGTTCCAGCCTCATTGGATGACAGCATTCTGGTCAGTGGGAGAGGGATCCCCTTGAAGTTTTGGTTTGGACTTGAGGACTTCCTTGTGATCGCCCTCAGGCAGAGCCCCAAGGGAGCTTTAGAGGGAGGGCTGTTGAGTTATTCTGCCCCATAGAGCAGCAACCCCCTTGGGCCTCCAGTTCCACACCTCTGAGAAGGTACAGTGCAGGCCAGGGGTCAGAGGCCAGCTGAGAGAAGCCAGCCGCAGGGGGCTGGAGCTGGGGTGAACCTGACTCTGACCAAGAGAGGGGGCTCTGTGTGTGCCAAGCAAGCGTCTCTGTGTCCTGTGCAGGGACTGGCCTGAGCCACCTCTAATGGGGGAAGAGCAAGGAAGGGTCAGAGTGGAGAAGGAAGGGTCGGGGAGGCACAGCTGTTGGGCAGAAGCTCTCTTGCCCTGGGTTGAGGCCAGAAATCTGCTGTCTCCTGAAGGCACAGGACCACCAGGACAGCCATGTGCCAAGCGCAAAGCTACAATCAGGATCACCTGAGGTGGCCTGGGTCTCCTGGGCAAGGCCTGCGTGCAGCACCGAGGGCAGCTGGTGCCCCAGGGGTCTGACCCTGCTGGCAGTTTGGTTCTCTGGTGTGTGACTGGCCACAGTTCCATTGGCACATGAGGGGCCGGCTGACTCGTGGGGCTGGGGGCGGACATGAGTTACTAGTTTGTTGTAAACCTAAAGCATTCTGGGACTTTCCCCCTGCAGTCCCGACTTTGAGATTCTGAGCCACAAAGGGCCATTCAGAGGGTGCAGCTGGTGATTAAGCGAGGCTCCTGCCCCATGGGAGCTTGCATCACACATACTGTACCCCTGAAACAGCTCCTTGGCTGCTACTGGGGCTCGTGTGGCTCTTGATAGACTTCTTTGAGGTGAGTGTCCCCAAGTGATTTGGGGAATAGGCCCGAGAACTGGGCAGGCCCATTGCTGTCTCCAGCCCAAGTGGGCCCTGGCCTTTCGATAGCCCTGTTGCTGTTGCTGCTTGAGGGCAGCAGATCTGCAAACTCCAGCTGAGCAGACAGTCCTTTTGCCAGGGCAGGGTTCAAGGAGCCTTTTGGGGCTGAGAGGTGGGGTAGCCCTCTGCCTCCATGTGAGTCTGCCATTCAGGTGGAGAGTGAACAGAGTGGGGAGGCACTGCCAACTTGGGTATGGGGACTGCCCTCCTTCCTCCGCCTTCTCCCCTGGGGACACTGGGACGATTTCTCTCTCAGTGATCTGGTGGAAAGGAGCCCTCCCGGTCACCTTTGCCAGCTGCTTTGACTGAGGCCAAATGTCTGATGTATTTTATTGGGGAGAGTTCACAGCCTTGTCTGATGCCCAGCTTTCTAAGGAACCACCTGAGTATTTCCAGCTTATACCCATCTGTTTCTGGTTTAGAAAAGATGCTGGACACTCTCTCATCTTGTTCAGCCAGAAAAGCATGAGTTTTGGGGGGCCACAAAAGGGAGGAAAGGGCTTGGGTGTTGGGATCAAACCATTCTGGCACCATCTCTTACCCTTTGACAGTGGTCAAGACCTTGCCTTTGCCAGCCTTTCCTCCTCTGTAAGAATGATGCCTGTACCTGTCATAATGGGAGAGGATGTCTGTGTTGCTCAGCACCAGACACAGTAGGTCCTCACAGGGGTCAGTCCCTTTTCTGTGCAGCTCTTGGAAAATGACCCTGTGCTGTTCTAGGTGAGAGCTCTTTTTTCTAAAATGTTTATTTTGCTGTGGTTGGTCTTAGTTGTGACACTTGGGATCTTTAGTTGTGGCATGTGGGATCTAGTTCCCTGACCAGGAATGGAATCCAGGCCCCCTGTATTGGGAGTGCAAGTCTTAGCCACTGGACCACCAGGGAAGTCCCTAGGTGAGAGCTCTTTAACAGGCAGTTTACAGTTTCTGTTATGGGCATGGTCCTGGCACCATGGGTGGACAGTGTTTGTTAGGAAACTGAGTACATGGTAGCGGACTCTGATGACAACCCCTGTGATGGGTGGGTCAGGGCCATGGCCATCAGTCCTTTTCTGTCTGGGATGGGACATGTCCATTTCCCCTCCCGCTCACCCACAGAATCTCTTAGGGTTTGTCTGGCTTCTTCTTTTGCTTAGGGCTGTTATCATCCTCTCCATAACGTCTTCTCACTCTGACTTGACTTTTGTCCACAGCTCCTAAAATCCATTCCCCAGTGGGTGGGGTACAGTGATTCCCTGACCCAGAAGTCCTTGTCCTACCAGCTAACCTGAGTGGTTTGGCCTATTGCTGTTTTGGTCTCTAGGTCTACTTGCCTGGCCCTTTAATTGGGTCTCTTCCAGGGCCAAACCCCTGGAGGACAGCCTGGTATCTGATTGCACTGGGTGTCTGCGGAAGACAGTACCCTCTCTGAGGCTCTGGAAAGTCTTGCCCTTGGGGATCCACCTAGACCAGGACAGTTAGGCAGGAGGGAAGGGAGTCCCTGCTTCTTGCTGGAGCCAGTACAGAATTCGGGTTGTCACTTCACAGGAGCCTCCTCATCCCACCACACTCCTCACTTAGCAGTGGAGAGGGCTTTCCCACCAACTGCCCCAAGCAAGGCCTCCCCCCACCCCCACCCCCACCCCGAGTTCTGTGTGGCAAACGTGGGGACAGTGTGCTAGAGATACAGATTTATTTTTCTGTATTTTCCGAAACATAATCTCCAGCCATGCTCATTTGGTTTTCGTCCCCAGAGCTATTTGGGAGAGGATGGTAGGTGGGGCGTGGGTGGGGAGTTAAATCTGGTGCTTGTGGCTGTGCAGTTGGAGTTCATGTCTCTGTGGAGTGTTGAAACCACACAGGGACCAGCAGGCCCGTGGTTCCCCACACCACAGCAACCCTCGGTGGGGCAAGTACCCATCACCCAGGGCCCAGAACCCCAGACTCTGGGACAGTTGTCTGTCTGTGCCAGGGGCTCAGCTCAGTTGCTAAGAAATCACAGGCTCTGAGAATGGGTCAGCTGATGCTACTGGCAGCTTCTGCCTTGCTGGGGCCTGGGCTGGAGCTGGGGAAGTGGCATTAAGGGGGGCCCACCTTCCAGGGGGAGACACGGCAGCAGGACAGAGTGCCTGTGCACGTGGGCCACCCCCCGGCTGCCCCAGGTGGAAGGAAATTCTCAGAACAGGCCCCTCCTGCCTCGTTTCTTTGCGCCCTGCAGCTCTTAGGCAGTCGGTTAATTTAGGGGACTCGCTTTGCTGCTTGAGAGGCTTAGATCTGGCTTGGATGGCTGGGCCCTCCTGCAAGAGGTGAGGGAACATAAGAGGGAGGAAAATCGTTCATGTGCTCCAACTGAAGTTACCAGTAACTCAGCTTAATCCTCTGTTCCCTGCTGGCAGCCCAGGTTAAGTGCTGGGAACAGGTGTCCTTGGCTAAGGTCAGGAGCAGCCTAGGAGCTAGGGGGCTGTTCCTTGTCCATGGGGCTCCCTAAAGGGACATCCACCAGGCCACAGCAGGTTGAGTGAGCTTGTGCAGAGCCTCTCTTTCGGGGTTTTGTGGAAGACACAGTCTGGTGGGCTGGGTTACAGTATCTCTTTCTGAGCACAGGGGTTAGAGTCAAGCACCCATGCCAGAGGCCTCCTTGATCTCCATGTGTGTGTGTTTGAGGGCCACACTTCTGTCTCTGACATGGGGCATGTGGAGTGAATTCCATTGTGTTTGCTGGAAGCCAATGAAAAACATCAAAACACTTGGGTAGTGGTGATGGGGGTGCCTGGCTGGGCCTTTGCCACTATAACTGTTGTGGACACAGTAGCCAGGGTTCAGGCGTGCAGGGCCTCAGGCTGGAAGAGGTGAGGAGAGCGGAGAGGTCTGGACAAGCTGTAGGGGCTGTGGGGTGAGGGTCGTCAGAGCTGTGGGATCTAAACACTACAGCATCCTTTGCTTTGCCTCCCCACACCCGCTATTAATGCTTTGCTGTGTGAGTGTGAAGGAACCAGCCAGTGGGGGTCCCTTGGATCTAAAGGTTGTCCAGGCAGAGGCAATGTGTGGTGAAATGACTGAGTGTGAGTCCAGCCAAGCTTGAGAGCCACGTGAGGCTAGGTCAGTGGGGAGAGGGAGGTGGGGCACCTGGCTGCATCCAGTGCTCCCAGTGATCATCTCAGAAAAGGCTCCAACTGGCCAGATCTGGGGAGGAAACGGGGAAGGAGCTGATTGAGCCTATGCAGCATCCCTGCCAGTGGACCTGGCCCCCAGATGGGCACCCCCAGTGACTGGGGGACGGGTTAGATCCACACTGCTGGGGCCCCAGCTAGAGCTGCTGCTCAGAGTACCGCTCAGGAAGCACTGAGAGGCCCTGGGAAGAAACAACTTGGCAACATGCCTGCCCTGAGCCGGTAAATGAATGTATTAGGAGTGAAGGGAGGACAGTCTCAGAGAACACACATCATACCGGGTCCCTGCCGGGGGTGAGACAGACTCCCCAGCCCCCAGGGTTTGGAAACTGGAATGCACTCCTCAATAACTGCTGGGCTTCAGAGAGTCCCAGTGAAACGGGGCACTGGGAAATGAAAGACAGGAAAATACTGCATAGTGGAAGCTTTGGGGATCTAAGATCTAAGGTGGTTCGTGCTCAGTGGCAGTCAGAGGCAAATTTCTAGCCTTAAATGAATTTACTGAAAACCAAGGAAGATTTGGGTAGTCTGGGTCCCCAAAGGCCCACTGAGGCTTGGCGTGAGGATCGTCAGCAGTGGAGAGCTTTGCATCTGCGTTGCAGTCCATGATGACTTTGGCCCACAGCAGAGCCCAGGGACAGCCGTCCTCTGGGCTGTGCTTCAAGTGCCCTGGACTGTTTTGTGCACCCCGGGTGGATGGGTAGGAGCCTTTGTGGAAGGAACACCGAGGGACCTGGCGTAGGAGCTGTGCCGTCCTCTTGGTAAATGGGCACCGTTGGGGAGGACCGTGGGCCTCCACCCTGAGGGGTCCTCAGAGCACCCTTGTCACTTGCACCCTGCCTGGCATTTTCTGGGACCTGGACTCTGGGGATGGCTCTAGCTCTTCTTGCCTGGTGGACTCCCAGCACTTGCTCTATGGACCTGATGCCCCTGCCAGACTGGGCTGCTGGCCACATTCTTCAGTGGTCCTGCTGCTGCTTGGCCTCCAGCATCTTGTCCCCAGCCTGGCATCTGGTGTTGAGTGACAACAGGAAAGGAGACTGACCCACGAGTATTTGTTTGGTTCCTTAGTTGCTGTGACTTCTTAGAAACCTGCCCTTCCCCAGCGAGCTCTGGGCAAGCAGAGAGCCCGGCTTTTTGACACACTCTGTACTATTTTCCTTCCCTTTTCTCTTTCCTTTTTGTTTTTCCTCAAAATGAAAAAACAGTTTTATCGTTTTATCTTTGTATTCATGTTGTGTAGCTATATACTCTAAAATATTGAAAGTATGGGGCAGTTAAGAGATTTCTAAGACTCAAGTAAACTTGTCACCTGAAATTGCCCCCCCTTAAGTCCTGTCAGCCTGTGGTGACTGTCCTCCTGGAAGGCTATCTGGGCGATACACGACCTGCTCCCACCCTGCACCCAGACCCTGCACCTGCAGCCATGGTGCTCCGCTCCTGGTGTTGTATTCTCACCCATGCAAGTGGACATTGTTTCCTGTCAGGGAGAGTGGGTCTCCTTTGTCCTGATAGATGGCTGCCCAGGACTCCTGGGTTCTGTGACCCCAGCCCCTGGGGCCCCACCTGCACAGGAAGGCAGTGAGAGACATGACTGGAGGCTTCATCCCTGACCCTCAGCCCTGTCCTCCCCTCTTGGACATGTCACCCTTCAGAAGGGTAAACATACAGACTGCGTCTGAGGATTAAGTGCGTCAGTGCAAGTGAAGTGCTCCAGGCAACCTGAGCACCTGGTGTTAGCCAGCCTTGTACTACTTCTTCATCACCCAGCTTTATGGGCAGCTCAGGGAAGAGGAACTGTGGGTAGATTCCAGAGACATAGGCAGATGTGCATTCTCCTGCAGCTCTGTCTAACCTGCCTTCTCTTCTGGGCAGCCTGAAGCTGCCCTTGCTCCGTGACCTCGGGTCCCTTTCCTGCCTACAACCTGTCTGGTCTTTCTGGCACCGAGTGGAAGTGCTTCCCAGTGTTCCTGTTGTCCATAGGCGTGTGGACAACACCGCTGTGTCAGCCCCGCTGACAGAGGCCCCTGCTATGGGCAGCAGGGGTTCCTGTTGCTCCCTGTGCTGCTCTAGAGGAGCTGAGGTGGCCGTAGACAGCGGCTGCACTATCATCCTCTAGGAGAGAGCCTCCTTTATCTGGCTTTGCTTGGGGAATGCCAGATAGAACCACACTAAAGTTTGGCCAAAAGGAAGCGATGGTTTGTCGTGGTGTACTTAGCCAACTCTTGCCGTGTGTCTTTCTGCCGTGGGTTTCAGGCGTTTGAGGAAGAGTCCTCGCTCTTTACGGGAGATCATGTCCCCTGCCCCAAGCCTGGATGTGTTCACTGGCCCTCAGGGCGTGGCCGGGCATAGGCCTGGCATCATCCTTTGGACAGTTGTGTGGCCCTTCAGCATCTGAGAAGCCAGAGAGTCAGGTCTCCTCCCAGGGCCCCAGCATGAGAAAAGTGATGTACCCATTAGAGGGACACGAGGTAGGGCATGGTCTGGTCAAAGGGACCTAAGTTCTGGCCCCAGTGCTAGGCCTGGGGTAAGTCAGTGCACCTCTCTGACCACTGTCTTCTCCTTGGAAAGTGAAGACAGTGGTGTCGGCCTAGCAAGGCTGTCAGCACAGACTGTCTCGCTCATCCTGGCCCTTGACCGCTTGGCCCGGCCTTTGTCAGGGGTGTCTAGGATCAGAGCCTCAGTGGCCGTGCTCATGCATTGGCGCCTGCCAGTTCCTCCGCCCAAGGTTGGGGAGAACATGGGCTAGGTGAGGTGCTCAGCCCTGAGTCCTGCTGTCACTGTCACTCATGATGTGCACTGTCACTCTTCCCGTGCATTGAGGATCTAGAGTGACCTTAGGTGTTTGTTCTTTTTGGCTTGTTCTCACAGGGTCCAGCCACCACGGTTGCCTTTTCAAGAATGGGGGAGTATTTTGCTTCTGGCGGTTCGGATGAGCAAGTAAGTAAAGAATGGTCCGAGGGGTCCCAGCGGATACTGAGTAGGACAGACAGGGGGCCGAGGTGCCCCGGGGATGGATGGGCTGGGTTTCACCAGCTTCCTTGGGCACTTTCAGCAACCTTAAAGGCTGGATCTTGGGGTGGAGTGCTCAGAGTGGCGCCCTACTTCCCCAGAGCAGGTATGCTGCAGGCGCCGACCCATGGCAGCATCTCAGAACTCCTGATGCTCAAACCAGTGTGGGCCGGAAGGAGTCTGGGTTAGTGTTGCCATGAGAAAGGTAAAATAGAGGCTTTTTGTTTTGGATTTTTTTGGGCCATGAGGCATATGGGATCTAGTTTGTTGACCAGGGATCACTCCAGTGCCTCCTGCATTGAAAGTGTGGATACTTAACCACTAGACCACTGGGGAAGTCCCCAGAGTTTTTTAGGAACTTCTTTTTCCTGATTCTAGGTGAATAATTAGATAATTATTGGATGCTTACTGTGGACCTGGTAATGTGGGCAACATGGCAAGAGTGTGCTCCCTCACTGAGTCCTCGGGGCAGCCCCGGGGGATGGGCCTTCTCTTCAGCCATTCTGTGGGTGAGGAAGCTGAGTCTGAGCTAGGACGTGGCTGGAGGCTCCGCTCCACTGTCTGCCGGCCATTGCTCCCCAGCCTGCTCGTGTGCTGTCTGAGGGACAGCATTTTCCAGCTCCACGACTGCAGAGCGAGAACATGTGTGAGGAGGTCCTGTCTTGCCTTGTCACCATGTACCTGGGGTCTGGGACCTGGTAGGCCTCCCACTGGAAATCTTTCTCAGGGTTCTGGTGTAGTGCTGCTTGGCCAGAGAACCGTACTTCCCTGAGGAGGGGAGGAAAGAGTGGCTGCTCTGAGCTACTGTGACCTGGTAGTTTGCCCAGAATGTTCATCCTGCTGCTCCCCAGCCTGATAGCTCTGATGGCTTCACCCAGGACAGTCCCGCTGGCCTCCCAGTGAGCTCCAGCCCTAGCTGATTTTGGTTCAGTCTGTCAGGAAAGCAGAGGGTGGTTGGAGGCACAGCTGGGCTATGAGATGGCAGGTGTCTTCCCTCACTAGCACCAGTTCCTGTGCTTACCAGACAAGGCAGACTCCTGAGCCTTCCTTGGGTGTGGAGTCCTGGCTCATTGCTTAGAAGACTAGGGACACTAATAAATCCACACCATAAATAAAGTCACAAGAGACACCCTGGTAGGAAGTAGGGCCCCCACCCTGAGCCCTCCTTCGGCAGCCACCGCTGTCAGCTCCCCGGCTGCCTTCTTATTGTGTGCTCTGAGAGCCTTTTGGGAATGGCATTTGACATTCTCTCTCCACATTCCTGATAGCCATTCCTCTGCTCAGGATTATTCAACAGTTAGAGTGGTGCACTGCACACCCCCTATAAACAAGGGGGTGAGTGCTGACATTCTTTTTGTAAAGGGGACCAATGAGAGACCCTGGATCCCCACAAGCTGGGGATGGTGAACAGTGCTGCTTTGTGGGTGGTGAGCAGCTTCACACAGAACCAGGCTTATGACTGCATCCCAATGCGGGAAGCATCAGGGGATGCTGAGTTTTCATCTTGTGGATCCGGCAGTTTTTCTGTGGCCTCAGTTGACTACTGGCCATGATTCACAATTCCTACCATCCTGGAAGTGGTCCTGGAGGAGTGCAGCTGACACCCTCCAGCAGGGAGCACTCTTACCCAGCTTTTGTAGGAGGAACCTCAGGGCATGAAGATCCTTCCAGTGGGAAGTAGAAGAATGGATGTGTTAATCACTTCTCTCTGGGGCCAGACTTCTCCCTGGGGCCAGTGTCTGAGTTTCATAGCAGCCCTGTGAGGTGGGGACTACCATTCATCCCCATTTCACGGATGAGGAAACCAGGGCACAGAGAGATGAGTCTCTTGCCTAGAGCTGTGTAATAAGGGGTGTAGCCAGGATCTTAACCCTAGTGGTATGGCCTGGAGTCTGTATCTGAACCACTTCTCACAGTGAGGCTGGCCAGGCTGCCACCGTAAATAACTTCTATTTTAGTGGGGAGATAGGTGATAAACAGGGGAAAGCGGACAGAGATTTAAACAACTACTGAGTCTGATGCCTTGAAGGAAATAGAGAGCTATGATCAAAACTAGCAAGAGGGCCAGGGAAGGCCTCTCTGAGAAGGTGGCGTTAGGGCAGACATTTAGCCTGAGATGCTCGCTATACAGAGCCTGGGCCTGGGATGCCTCAGGCACAGGGAGCAGCCATGTGGGGCCCAGTGGTGATGGTGACTCTCCACCCTGATGGAGCGCCTGATCCTCTTGGGGCTCTCCAGGGAGGTGGGGCAGGTCTGGAGATGAGTGGGGTGCCAGATGGGGACCATAGTCTCACCATTGGCCCAGAACTTTGGCGGTAGCCTCTGGGCCCATTTTCTCTATGAAGAAGGACAGGTAAGGGGTATTTCTCCTCCTGATTCTGTATGCTTGTTGGTCTTGACAGGTGATGGTTTGGAAGAGTAACTTTGACGTCGTCGATTATGGAGAAGTGCTAAGAGTGCAGAGGCCCCCGGCCGCGCGGGTCAGCTCCTCTGGGACTCTGGTAAGTGGCCTGACAGGCATTATCCTGAGCCCTGTGGCTGGTGGACTGGGTCATGGTCAACAGCACTGGGCTCGGGGACAGTGGGGGCGCTGCAGGCTTAGCTTCCAGGGAAGAGACCCGGGTAAGATTTCATGATTTACCAGAAACTTCTTAGGTGCTTGTGGTGCTTTGTTTCAAATCCGGAGTGAACAGACAAGATGTGAGGACGCTGTTAGCATAGACTGCCGGCTGCCTAGGCCCCACGTCGTCTGCTGGGGGATTGTTCCTGTGGTTTGGGCCGCTGGCTGGTTGAGGCCCGAGGAGAGGAAGGACCTCTCTGGTGCTGAGCCTCGGATGCAGTGTGTCAGATTCCTAGAGGGTGCAGGGCCTGAAGCCACAGCTAGGACGAATGGGAAGGGCCCCAACCCTGTTCTCACTTCCTTTTTTTTTTAAAACCATGGAAGGGAAGTTCCTCCACCACAAACCATTTTTAGTGCCTTTGTTGGTAAAAGGGCACCCAGTGTTCCTGAATTAAAAACACTCAGTAGTTAACAATATTTTTTTGACAAATATTTGGGGTAAAAAAGATAGCTGATATGGTGTCACTCTTTGAAGAAGGTAATTTTTAGCTTTGGCTGAAATAAACAGTGACACCAAGGAGGTGGAGCCGCGCGGATTGTAAGCTCTGGTGCAGGCTGCTTAAATCTCTCCTGCCTGGACCTTAGTGGCAGCGTGGCCTCTCCCACACGCAGAGGCTGGCCTGAACAACAGGAAGCAGCTTGCCCAAGGCCCCCAGCGAGTCAAGGTTGGCCCAGAATAGAACCAGGAAGCCTCTAAGTCCAGGGCTTTCTTTGGCTCCAGCAGAGGGCCCTGCCCCACCCATGCCCTGTCCTATGTCTCAAGGACATAGAGGGACTCCCTCTAGGAACATGCCAGTTTGGGGTTTAAAGCTTTTCTTCCAAGAGTTGCCCTTGGCCCAGAGGTTTTGTTCTCCCTCCGCATTTGCTAAGGAGTGTCCAGTTCTCATCTTTTGGTTTTGTTGGGAGAGTGGTGGCTGGGTTTCCCGGTGGTCTGCTTGCCGCTATTTCATCTTCCACCTATAAAGCATTTTCCAGACTGTGGGGTTGGGATCCCTTGAGGTCCATGCCCACCTCCCCTACAGCTTCCCGTCTGTTGGGTATTTATGGTGAACCACGCCCTGTTGAGGCCTTGACGTGTAGTGCCCTGTGTGTTCCTGACCTCATCACGATGAGTGCTCTGAGTGACTGTTCTCGTTCACAGTTGAGACATCTGGGGCCTAGTCGCCTGCCGCAGTGTCTAGACCTGGGGGCCCACCATGCTGGTCCCCCTGAGCAGGGCTGACTAAGCTAGAAGCTGGTGGTAGAGGTGGTAGAGGGCTGGTTGGAAGCTCTTTCCCATCCCAGGAGAGGGGCCTGCCATCTCTCTCCTGGGAATGGTTAGTAATTAGCAGCAAGGGGAGAACCCCATGCTCCTTTTCTGGTAGCTTTTGGGAAAGTAACTTAGCTGCCCCATGTCCCTTCAGTCTGAGCCAGAGACAGGGTGTTGGGCACCCTTGCTTCCCATAGTTGCAGGGCCTGGTCATCTAGGATGGAGGGTGTGGGGTGGGAAAGCCAGCAGGACAAGGCAGGGTAGGGTCTGGCTGGCCGAACCATTAAGAGGCCTCAGAAGGAACGTTTGTTCCCGAACTAGCTTCACGCCTTCTGCCCAGTGAGCATCACACCCTGTGGGGCTCAAATCGGGAAAGGGGTGTGGAATCTAAGGTCTGCACCCCGGCTCCATGGTCCAGGTAAAACACCCACTTTTCTCAAACCTCCATTTCCACAGTGGGACCTGAACACCCCCACAGGCAGGCTTCCAGGACCCCACGTCTGATGTAGGTGACTTCTGCTAACCCAGAGAGTGACTTGACATTTTAATCCTAAAGTCATTCTTTGTTTCAGGCTTTTTTGCTCATTTGTCACAGGCCCCTTTGAGACTCCTGAGTTGACGTGTAGGTCCTCCAGACTTACCACGTCCACACATGCATACCACCAATGTACACTTGAGTGGCTCTGATCTCAGGACTCCCAGGTCAAAGAGGAGAGCTGGGGGGTGGGGGGAGGTTGTTTGTTTTGTTTTATATATGTAACAGAAAATTAATCATTTTGCCTATTTTTAAAAAGTATATTTTTATTTATTTGGCTGTGCTGGATCTTAAGCATGCAGGATCTTTGGTCTTCATTGTGGCATGTGGACCATTTTGCTTTTTTTTTTTTAAGATTTCTTCGTTTCTGTGGCTATATAGGGCCTTTGTTGCTTCTGGAGGACTTTCTGTAGTTGCGGTGTGCGGCCTTGTCATCGCAGTGCCTTCTCTTGTTGTGTAGCATAGGCTGTAGGCCTGCGGGCTTCAGTAGTTATGGCCCCTGGACTTTAGAGCCCAGGCTCAGTAATTGTGGGGCATGTGGGACCTTCCAGACCTAGGGATCGAACCTGTGTTCCTTGCATTGACAGGCAAATTCTTTACCACTGAGCCACCAGGGAAGCCCCCATTGTGCCTATTTTTAAGTGTACAGTTGAGTGGCATTAAGTACATTCATACTGTTGGGCAACAATCACCACCTCCATACACAGAATTTTTTCATCTTCCCAAACTGAGGCGAGCTAGTTGGTATAGTGCAGCTCAGTGGCTAGGTTTTCCCCTGAGGTGGGGAGGTGGGCTGATGAGTGAAGTCTTCCTTTCTTGCCCACGGGCTTCCCAGGCCCCGAGGTAGTGCTGGTGACTGATTCTGTGGCCAACCAGGGTATCTCAGCTCCTCAGGGAGCCCCCACTCCTCTAACTCTGTCCACATAGCATTCTTCCAGCAACAGAGGGTTCTCTGCCTTGGTGCTGTCGATCCTTGGTGCTGCCAGATGAATCTTCACTGTGGGGGCTGTCTGTGCATTGTAGGATGTTTAGGAGCATCTCACTGGCTTGCCGGTAGCACCCCCCACCCCTAGTTGAGACAGTCAGAAATGTCTTCAAACATTGCCAGCTGTGTCCTGGGGAGCAGCACTGCTTCTGGTTGAGAATCACTTCAATAACTCCTGTCTTGGGAGTGAGTCCAGAAGAGGGGCTTCTGCCGCAGGGGTGGGTGGGGGTGGGAGGAGCTTGGGGATGGCACTAACTCTGGAGCCTCTGATCCTGCTTGATGGGCCAGATCTGGGCTCTCCCCCAACCAAGCAACTGTGGCCCAGTTCTCTTAGTCTGGCTTTCTAACACAAGCCCATTTTGTAGAAATGTTTGGCTTATCAAACTTTGGAATCTCCAGGGGTGATGGTAAACAGCAGAAAAAGACCTTTAACAGTTTGATTTTCCTTACTACACTTCAAGTGTGCTCTTGCCCTTCCTGCCTGCAGGCTTTCCCTGGCTCTTAAGGTGCAGTGCCTGGTTAGGATTTGGTGGCTTAGCTTCCCAGGGAGCCTTGAGCACCACCGCTGTGCCAGGGAGCTCTTGATCCTGATGTCCGCCTCCCCCCGCTCACACCCCAGCCCTGTTTACACTCTGGGTCTCAGATTCAAATGCCACATGAGTCACCCCTGGGCATTTGGGGATGTTAGAAGCACATTGGGCCAGGTGCTAGATCTTGAATTCTGGACCACATGCCTGTTAAGAGTTTGGCAGTCTAAAGCCAGAGGGGCAGACCATGGCAGGGGCGGCCCTGTGAGCCTGTGACAGCCCCTGGCCTGGACCCCTGCCGTGGCTGTGGCTTCAGCACTTGCTCTTGGAATGAAGGCCATCCTTGAGCCCACTGTGAACAGAGCTCTGTTCAGTGCCGGAGCTATTTTCAACCTCTGGTTGAAATTCACAGCTTATTTTTAGACACATTTCATGTTGAAAAGCAAAAGCCATTTCCCAGCCCTTCAGAATGAGAATAATGGGTTCCATTTTCCCTCTATTCTTGGCTGAGTTGTGATGAGGAGGGATCTTGGGACTGTGGCTAAAGAGCTTTCTCTCCTTGGAATCCTACAGAGGCAGGACTGCAGCCTGTGCCCTGGGCTGAGAATGGGCAGGAAACGCCACGTTCTGCCCTGTGGCGTGCTGCATGGTGGAAGATTGGAAGGTTTCAAGCAGACGAGTGCCTCCAGAGGGGCTTGTGAGGGTCCCAGCATGTTGTCTGTGGCAGGGGCTTGTGCTGGCATTGCCGGGGGACTGTATTGAGCCCTGTTTCCTACTCCAGCCCTGGTCAGCTCACCCTCTCTCACTCATTCTCATGGTTCTCACTCTCTCCTGTGTTTTCTGCTCAGTCCCTGAGGCTGTTGACCGTTGTGTCTTGGCTGACCTTGGATTTGGCACCTGCTCTCCAAGTCCCAGCCACTATAGCTGACTTCTGCCTCAACCACAGAAGCATCCTAAAATCGTTTTTCATAGCAAGGATGCATTTATTCTGATAACAATCTTACTCTTGCCCTCCTCCAAATATCTGAGAGCCTGTTGTGCAATTAGGAAGGAAGGTTGTGCTGGGTGGGGCGGGAGGTTAAGAAGGCCAAATTCTAGGTAATTCAGTAAAACTAGAAAACCACTTCCTGAGTTCTCTGAGCTGACTGCCTGCCAGTTCAGAGAACCTTGAGGTCTAGGGCCAAGGGCTTTTCTCCACTCACCTCGGGTGGGAAGATGCCGACTCCTTCTCCTCTGTGAGATTGCATGAGGTGTTACCCATCAAGCAGGCACTTGAAACCGTGCTTAGCACATGGCAAGTGCTCACCAAGCTCTATTTTTATTATTTAAAAAATTTTTTTTCCTTTTTCCTATTTTTAGAATATTCCTTTTCCTTCCTCCGTCTGACAGAGCTAGACAAGCCCCCTGCCCCTGCTGTGGTGAGGGACAGCAGGCCAGGGGGTGGGGCGCTTCTGACCAGGTTATCTTCGAGGTTGACTCTGCTCAGCAGGCTGTCCCTGTGAGGGCTAGTGCAGCTTCCAGACTCCTGCAGGCGTCAGTTATACATCCTGATGAGTAGCCTGAGTCCTCTCTGCTTCCACACGAA